CCCGCCCTGGAGGCGGGGCTGGCCCTGCATGTAGTGCCGGGAATCTAACCAGGTCCTTGCACTTGCCTAAGCAGGCACTTTAGTCCGATGAACTATCTTGCCTGCGCCTGTATTACAGTGTTTTGGCTGTGAAGACAGGTAACATGAGCAGAAGGGCCCTGTTTCTGGAAAAGTGGCCAGTGATACAAGACAGCCCTTCACCTTAGAGATCAAGATTAAGTAACTAAATTGATATCAAGACTCAGAAAAGGAGCCCTTCATCCATTTTCAGTCATGTGGTGTAGTCATGTAATGAAGGCCACAAGTTGGAATGTTTTCCTTAACTTGAGCCAAATCCATTTTAACCAAAGGTCTAACCAGCAAAAAACAGCTTGAAAGAAGAGAACTTGGTTTGGGCCGATCCCTGGGAGCCAGAATTCAGTGCTGCGGTGAGTCACGTACGTCTGGGGCAGCAAAGCTCCCTTTATCCCAGCACAGATAGGGCCTGGACTCTGCCTTTATCCCCTTTAAGCTGCTAGGCACAGGGCCGAGTCGAAGGAGCTCCTTCCTGCCCGCGTCCCAGTAAATAACCCTCCACGCGTTTGTCTGCGGTGAGCCACGCGGAGCCGCCTTGATAGAAAGACTTTATACAGATGACGTCTGAGACTTAACAGACGCAAGGGACAGTTTTTTTCCAACCTTCCCTTGCCTAAGAACGGCAGCTCCGTGAGGCCAGAACGAGGGGTCCGCAGCCCTGTGCACACCCGCGTTCCGCCTCTCGCTTGCTCTGCGGCCCCAGTCGCCTTCCCGAAGACCCCGCCCGATCCTCCCACGGAAGCCCTTCCTTCCCGGCCCTCCTCCACCGAGGTGGCAGCAGGCTTTGTCCTTTCTCCTGCTGCCCTTGCTCGCTAAGGTCGCAGCCCTGTCCTCACCAGGCCCGAGCGCACGCAGACGCCGGCCGCGCTCACCCGCTCCCGCCCCCGCGCAGCCGTCCTCGGCGCCTGCGGCGAGCGCCGCCCGCCAGCCCTCGCACGGGGCTCCTTTCCTCGCTAACCGTCCGCGAGCGGCGCAGTCCGAGCGGCCCCGGCGGCTCCGCGCGCCTCTGCCATCGCCGGAGCTGGGACGGTGGAACCTGCGTGCGTGCGTGCGTGCGTGCGTGCGCGGTCATCTACCTGTGTTCGTTCCTGCCGCGGCCCAGGGAAGGACTCCGAAGGGCAGGCGGTGCCCGGCAGCCGCGGGGGCGGCCCAGCTCCGGCCTCCGCATTGACCTCCCTGCGCGGCTGCTGCCCGAGCGGCTCTGGGACCCCAGCAGCCCCGAAGGCGACGCCGGGCTCCCGGGGGTCCTGCTGGCCGGGGGGTGCGCAGGGGCGCGGCGGACCGCGTGGACCCCCACCTCCCCCACTTCCCAGCGTCTGCAGCGGTGGGCCGCGGTCGTTGCCCAGGATTGAAAACTCCGCGCCCAGACCCCACCCCAAAGGAACCGGCCTGTGGGCTGTGGGACAGGGCCCGCTCGTTTTGAGAGCTCTGCAAAGGATTCTCTTGTGATCCATTTTTCTTAACGGATTAGTACCTAGAAGAGAGCACCTGCCGTGTCCACAGTCAACACGGGATTTTTAAAGATCCAGTAAAAAACAGGCCAAGTTTAACTGCAAAAATTAAAAATAAACTAAGGCAACAATACTTACCTTTTCATTATTTTTTGGGGGGGTTGCAATGTTGAATACTGCTTTGGTGTGACAGAAGGCTGGCAATTAGACACCAACTGCACCAGGCTCAGAGGGAGAGGGCTCACTAAGCTCCAGGCCCGGGCCAGATCCCAGCACTGGGTAAACGAAACAAACCCTCCAGGACTCCTGTGCACACCCTGCACGCCTCTGCACACTCTGCACACTCTGCACGCTCTCACTCGCGCAAGTTCACTCGCGTCAGCAGTGAAATGCTCGAAGGAGCTGTGCCGTTCTCAGGGTGAGGTAAGGGATTTGTCACCGGAGCTAAGCGAGCGAATGGAAGTGTCCCCAGATGGAACCAAATGCACCAAGCTTAGTCCTTAGCAAATGCAAGGATGACAAGCGTCAGTACTTCATACAACTAGATTTAATAAGTTATTACAGAAAAAAAGTCCAAACTACAAAGTTTACGCAGTTGTACGCAATAGCTGCATTGAGCTCCGTATTTAGTCACAGTACTGTAGTTCCATACAAGCAGTATTAGTCCAAGCCCCAAAGGCAGAAGCTGAGTAAGGGTTACGAGCAAAAAAACCAATCTAAGAGCACAGGTAATAAAAGATACAATACATTTAAAATTAGTTGTTAGTTGAAAAACAAATACAGAGATCTTAGCTGTGAACACTCTAAAAGTTATGCCCATTATTTTGACAGCAAAAATACAAATACCTAATACTTTATACCCCAACGGAACCGTATCCAGGAAAGAAAAAGAGTTGTCCTGTGTTAGCACCCAAGTTTTCTACTTGTTGCAATTAACTTCATCATACAAATTTAAACAATCATGAATCACAGAGCCACTTCTTGACCCATTTTGGGGTATAAAGTCAACAGCATTAATTATAAAATACTCTGTGGTAAGATGGAACACTAGTGCAGCTGAGATAGAGAAGTCTGGTTGTTAGAAAAGAAAAGGAACAGAAAGAAATGTCAGCTGACATACCATACAAACTAGTGAGAAAGCAACAGTCCATACAATAAGCCAGTTTTAACAAAAGATACTTTTTTTCACTAATCTGTGACTAATCTTCCATTCAAACCTTGCAAGTAGAGATGTCACAATACTCAGATATTTAGGTAGGAGCTTCACCCAGTTAAATGCCATTTGTTGCTAATATAATAGATAAAATGAAAACTAGCAGTTATTTGCTAATTGCATAAATGCAGCACATTCTGCACTAGCCCATGCCTCACTAACAAGCTATAAAACACAAGATATAGGCAGAAATCTAAGCATAATCTTTATACCACTAAACAAGAATTTTTCCAATTTCTTTCTTCTGTTCCTAATCATTTATTTGTAGTTAATGTAAAATTCCAATCAGTAGTACCCAATTTGAGTTAAAGTTTTACATCACAACTTGATCTAATCTATATATTATTTACAAAACTGAATACATAGAGCATACCCAGGAGCCATCTCTGGACTCGAGTTTCTCCAAGTTATTGATTAACCTCACTTCCGAGGCCACCAATGACGAGTAGAAACACCATCGATCTAGAGCAAGTCATTGGATGTTCTGTTTACGCAACACCAGGTTTGCAGTTGTACGATCTTTTTTTGCATCTGTTTTGGGTGCCACTGTGACATCATGCTGCCCGAACAGCACGGCTTCCAGGTGAGGTGGGGACTAGAAAGCAGCAGGAGGGCAGACAGACCATGCATGGAGGGGCCCGATGCGATGCCACAGGAAAGGGGGGGGCAGTGGACCTTAACGGAAAGCAGGCAGGGGTGTGGAGGGAGATGCAGCCCGACACACACACAGTGTCCACGACAGTGGTGACATCCAGGTGTGCTTCCTCAGTGCTACCGATCAGCCCTTCCAGGAAGGACCATGGTGACACTGCAGTCTGTCTGTATTACCCAGAAGCTGGTGTCCTCTCAGCCACTTCCTTGGATTCACAGATGTCACCACTGTAGATTCATGTAAAAGATTTGGGAGAGAAAGGCACCATCTCACACATGGACAGCAGTTGGTGGCAGATACACACACACACACACACACACACACACACACACGACAAAATGAAGAGTTAGAGGGGGGAAAAGCAATGAAACGTTCTGTTGACCTAACTAGGTTTGAAACCCAGTGGTATTTCAGTAGGGTGATTTCTTTATCAGGGCCACAGATTTGGCTGCATCTGGTGTTGTATAAATCCACTGTGACATCCCTAGAGACCTGTACTGTGACATCCCTAGTCTTACACTATACCACTGTAATAAAGGAAAAGGCTTGTCAAAATTTCACATGTTCTGCTCATTCTGTCATTTTATTACCCAATTATCCATTACATTTCCAATCACTTTACATAACCAACCATTTTCATCGTTGTCACACTATTGTAAACCACATCAGCAAGATAATACATAAAGCTTTGCATTTCAAAAAACTAGACACTTTAGTAACAATATTACAAAGGTTTTAGCTTCAAAAATAACTGAAAATGAAAAAAATAAACTTTTAAAGAATTAGCATCATAAAATTAATTTATTCCAAGTAAAAATACAAAATAATATTATGACATTGACCAGATATGAAAGTCCCTCCCAGAAACAACTCTATTAATGATTGAGAAAGCACTCCTTAAAGAAAATACGAAATAAAATGGAAAATATGTAAATATGTTTAATTTTTTTCTTAGCAAAAAATCTTTCTAAAAATAACAATGAAAATTTGTCTCAGTACAAAGGCTACATTACTATTGAAAAAATACCAGCATGAAGAAAAGGTACATATCTGACAGTAGAAAAATGATTTCAGTGAATCACAATGTCTAAAGTTTGCAATGAAAATAAATCTGCAATAAAGATTTATGCCTTTTTTCTTTTCTTTTTTTTTCTATTTTTTATACAAACAGTACAAACAGTATTGCACATAACAACAAATAGTCGAGGTTAAGGTTATAGCCTTCAAAAAATCGACTAGTTCAAGTGTCACACCAAGGAAAGGCCACAACAGGACCTGTGTTACCCAGGGGCTCCCAGTCAAGTTGCAGGTCAGAACACCTCTATGTTTTAAAAAATAATTTTTTTGAAGGACCCTCTCTTTTAATATAACATTAAGAACTTGGGGACACATTTATTTACAAAACAAAAGGGAACATGTTATAATTTAATAAACTAAAAAAGTTCTCTTTAAAAAAATACAAACAGAAGAACTCTTTCACAATCCTGGTCAGTCGTGCACAATCAACGCTTGATTATAAATATACAAATTAAGGGAAAGTAGTTTCCACCCTCCAGTCACAACTCTCAGCACCAAATGGAGTTTAGTATTGTAACCTATTCTTCATGACTTTTTTTTTTGCCTTCACTTTAGCTTTATGTTGTGCAATCTTTCAGCTTTTTAAAAATCTCAGTGTTATTTTAGTACATGAAAGAGGGGTGCTTCTTCAAAAAGTTTTGCTTCTTTCACATAATTAGGTAGATTTCTGTACGTTAGATATGATCTTTAATATTATAGTTATAAAGCTCTAACTTCTTCATTTTCAAAAAACACAAATAAGCATGAAAAAAATAAAGTTACCCATCTGTTAAATCATTTTCTTGCAGAATTAAATTAATATATATTTTCTGAATAAACTTACTTAGAAAATATCATTTTCTTTCCTATATTTCAAAATTGAGGTATTGCAAAAGATCATGTCAGTCAGAAAGCATGCCTTTTTCCTTAAAAACAAACAAACAAAAAATCTCCAGCCAACTTTTGAAAACTGTCTAGAATACAAAACGTAGTAGTGCATAACAAAATTTCTGGTACAGATAAAAAACAAAAACAGAAACAGAAACAAAACCACAAACATATATATAAAAGCAAAACCACGTCTGGGCTGGAAAAAAACAATTATTACCAGCAAGCCCAGAGGTAACCTCAAAAGGGGAGGATTTGACAAGCATTTTTAATTTAGTAAAAAACTATTTTGTTTTTCCTTTTTGAAAACAAACTATAACTTGAGAGCCAGTAACTGCAACTAAACAACGGAGGAAAAAAACCCCAAACCAAGCAATGCTACCTCAGGACAGCACAAGGACATCACAGCACATGAAACACAGCGACTTAAAATCTATTCTGCAGTGTCATATCCAGTCAGATTGTCCCCAGAATTCCAAAACATAGGAAAAAGATTTAAAGAAAAGAGTTACATAGTCTCGCAATCATTGTGTGTGTTTATATATTACTATCTGCAGCCCAAGAGTGAATGCTAAAAAAATGTCCACGGTAGTATTAGCAGGGCTTAATTTTCTTCAAGCTTTACAGGAGAAATCCAGGGAATTCACTAACTTCTCACCCAGACAACCAACTTGCCCAGGCCGTCTCGTTTTGTACAGACACTTCTTTAGCATCACCATCACACAACTTTTAAAAAGATGTGCCTAGCTTGTCAATCTGACAACTTATCTCTAGATACTGTATATGTTTCTTAGTGTTTGTAAGCTAAGATGAGCTCTTTGGTGTTTTGGACAAGGTCTGAAACTATGTAAAATGGTGCAAGCACTAGGAGACTGGAACTAAGAGCTCATGTGTTACCTAATAATATACCAGTTATGAACCGGCAGGTTCATTAATGTCTGACACAGAGGCTTAAAACAGTTAAGTTTGATCACAGTTAGACATAATCACTTTACTATATAAAATAAATTGCACAATATATAACAGAGCACCGCAAAGTACTTCATCTACCATCCACAAGTTTGCTTTAAGAGTATCCTACACCTAGGTTTTATATTGTTGTAATATAGGTCCTTCGTGTACGGGCCCTTCCTGCTGAGAAGCAGTCCACGCGTCGAGGCATGCCTTCCTCCACTCGATTACCAATTCGTTAATGAAAAAAAATCTTTCTTTAAAAAAATGAGTATTTTATAGCTTATATAGAGTCTTAATTTGTGCATTGTGGGAAGGTTTTATACTAGACATTGGATATAAAATTTATTGCATGCAGCAACCTGATTAAGTAAACATGCAGTCAGAAATAGTGACCTTCCTTTGAAGCTTTCTGAAGTCTACTCTGTTCTCCCTCCGGCAGCTGACATCACAAAAGTGTGTTGTTGGGTTTTGTTTTTGTTTTTAATTGATACCTTAGCCTGAATAGAGTATTATGGTATTAATATACCATTTTAATAGCAGCAAAAGCTATTGCAGCATAAATTTACATAACACTAAAAGATCTAACCAAAATCTTCAGCAAAACAAAAATCAAACATGAAGGAAAAATTAAAGATCCAGCTTATGAGGTATCCTTAAAAGTCAAAATACAGAGCAACTAAAGGCTTATTTTCATTAAGGGTTATCCTTATTCTAAAAGACCCCAGCTAACAATTGTTGAATCGTGAAGTTTTTGCTACATCTGCCACCTACTCGCGAGTATTACCTTTGGTAAGTCTTGTCCTAGGGGCAACTCTCTAAGTTTCTGAAAATAAGTGCATGCTCCAGTTTAAAACAATCAGACGATAACACAACAACAAATAAAAGAATCACAGACACTAACCCGATGGCCGCTGATGAGAATGGCAGTCTATGCACTGTCACGAGTGACAGATCAGGTGTAAGAAATTAAGGTACCAAGCAGACAAACGTGTGAATCAAAGTGCAGATCAGTACCGTTATACACTCTGCAAGTTTGCATTATACTGGACACTGAGTTCAGTTATATGACTGTAAATCATAGTAATAATAAAAAGACCCATTTTCTTCTTTAAAAATCGAGAACGAATGCACAGATTTCCAAACACTGTAAGCCCTGAGGCAGTGCCCTCCTTCCCTCCTGGCGGCCCGCGGGCGGCTCAGCTCCAGCGGAAGGGCACGTGGCGCGGGCGGTCGCCTCCCTCCTTCACCAGCGGCTTGTGGAACTCGCGGCCGGCGCGCGAGTGGATGCTCGCCCAGCAGTACTCGCAGTAGTACTGCAGGCAGGTCACGTTGGCACAGAAGAACGGGGCGAACTTCCCTCCGCAGCGCGTGCCCTGGCACTCGTCGCACATCTGGTCGTCCAGCACGTATGGCTTCACTTCCACCTGGACCCGGGAGAGAGACGGAAACGTTAGGGCGCCGGGGGCGCGGCCGGGGCGCAGCGATCGGGGCTGCACCCGCGCAGGCCAGGGCGGGCTTCTCCGTGCCGCTGGCGCTGTCCGCCAAGTGGGAGTGACGTTTACGTCCGCTTCGCTAGGGGTGGAAATGGGCACAAAGGGCCACGCCGCGGCGCCGGGGAGGGGTACGGGCGGCGAGGTAGAGCCCAGGAGCTGAGCCCGCCCAGGAGGCAGGACGGAAGGGGACGCTCCTGCGGGAAGGTCGGCCGGGCGGGAACGCGGGGCGGGCCGAGGCTGCAGGCTGGGCTGGGAGCCGCCAGGAACGCGACCGCTGCGCTCCCCAGCGCCTGGCTGAGCCTCAGCTTTTCACCTTCGTGTTAGGAAAGCGACAGCCACAGCTGCCTCCAGCGGGCCTCTGGGATCAGCAAGCCCTGCGGGTGGTGCAAGCCCAGCGGGTGGTGCGGGGGCGAGGTGTGTGTGTGTGTGTACGTGCGTGCTTTTTTCTTTTATTTTCAGTACTGGGGATTCAACTCACTACTGCCTTTGCACTGAGATCCACCCCCAGCACATTTTTAATTTTTTAAGTTTGGAGCCAAGGTATCTCTGGGTGCCCAGCTGGGCTCCACCTTGTGATCGTCCCGCCTCCACCTCCCAGAGTATCAGTATTACAGGCAAGAGACCACTCCGAGTTGGAGCTGGGGAGCCTTTGTAAGCAGCAGGCTCCCTCACCCACAACGCCTGCGCAAACTGGTCTTCCTGATTTGTGCAAGTTCCCTGCCAGTGACTGCCCAGCTCAAATTCGAACTGGTCTCTTTTTATTCACCCACCCACCCAACCATCCATCCATCCACTCATATTTATTTATTTTGAGACAGGGTTTCACTCTGCAGTTCAGTTTGGCCTTCAGCTCGCTATGTCACCAAGGCTGGCCTAATCCCACCTCAGCCTCCAGAGTGCTGGGATTACAGGCAGGTGCCACCATGTCTGCACTTTGCACTTTCTTTCAACCTTAAATACTCTCCTTATATTTTCTTTCAGCCCACTCCAAAGTCTTATGCACCTACTGGGGTCCAGATTTTCTTTCCTTTACTCATAAAGTTAACAATTTAAATGGGAATAATTCAGTTGCATCTCAACATTCCCTACGTGTGTAGCCAGTACTTCTCTCTACTTTCAGAACATTTTCATCTCCTCCCAAGGCAATCCTGCACGCAAGACGCACACGCTCCCCTCGCCCTCAGTGATGGCCAATCTGCCTTGCTCCTGTCCATGGTCACCTGTTCTGCCATCACTCGAGACAGTTTATGCCTGCCCTATGTACTCATCCAAAACGAGTTCCACTGCGTACAGGCACCCACTCGCTTCCTCTGGGCACTCATTTGTTGGTGAACATTTAGGCTGTTTCCACCTTCTGGCTGTTGTTATTGATGATTTGGGCTGGCACTGAGAAACAGACTTGATTGGGCATATTCAAGTTGAACTTTTTGAGGAACTACCAAATTGTTTGCCACAGAAGCTGTACTATTTACATGCCCACCCACAAGGAACAGAGATACAATTGCCACATATTCATCAATACTTGTTTTCCATCTTAGTGATTATAACTATCCTAGTAGAGCTCACTGTAGCCTAGACCTAGACCTGCATTTCCCTAATAACAGATGACATTTAGCATCTAGCAAATGCTTGTTGGTTATTTATCTTGTTTGGAGAAATGTCTATTCAAATTCTTTGCTGATTTTTAAAATTAGGTTGTAAGGGTTTTTTAGACATTCTGGATTCTAGACCTTCATTAGATCATTGTAGCAAGACAAGACAGTGGTACACTGAGGGGATGACATGAGCTGCAGATCTTGGCAAACTCCTGGAAGTGAGTCTGTCCAGGGCATTCCAGCAACAGAACTGAGCCCCAAAGCCTGGACAAGAGATCCCAGCACTCAGAGCGAATGCTGGCCCGAACAAGCAGAACTCACACCCAGTGAGAGAAAACTTTGGGAGGAGTCAGGCCTCAGCTATTCACAAAACATGGAAATATAAAAGCAGTCGAAGGGATTCAAGTCTGGCACAAAGCAACTCTCATAATATCAAAACAAAACAAAAATCCAAACAAGGCGTGGTGGGCCACACCTGTAATCACAGCACTCTAGAAATCTGAGGGAAAAGGATCACAAGCTTGAGGACAGGCAAAGCAACTTTGTGAGACTCTGTTTCAGAATAAGAAATAAAAAGAGGGTTAAGTGCAAAGGCCCTGAGTTCCATACTGAAAAAAATGTTATTTTTGTTTAGATGTGAAAAAGGTATATTGGTTGTATATGGTCCTTCCCTTGTCTTCAGGAGTTAAATTTTTTTAAATTTGGGCCAAAGTCAATTAAAATTAATCACTTCTACATCGAGGTAGAGTTTATGAACAAAAACCAAACTATATGGGAAATACTTTAAATAATCAATAACTGGGATCTCATCTTATTAAAAAACTTGTGCACATCAAAGAAATCACCAACAAAGTAAAAAGAAAACCCACAAATTGGGGGAAAATGTTAGCCAACTGTTTCTCTGATAAAGGCTTTCTATCTAGAACATATAAACAGAAAAATCAGGCCCCCCAAATTCAAAGACCCAAAAATGGGCATCTGAGATAAATACATACTTCTTAGATGAAGAAATACAAATGGCAAATAAATATATTAAAAAATGCTTAACATCATTGGCCATTCAAGAGATGCAAATTAAAACAACACTGAGGGCCAGGTATATATACAGCTCAGTGGCATGGCACCTGCCTGGCAAGCATGAGGTCCTGAGTTTAATTCCTGGTACCAAAACCACTGAGAGATTCTATCTCACCCCAGAAAGAATGGATATTTAAGAATCTCCCCTGGCCTGCTGTGCCGGCCCTGCCCCTGGGACACACTGAGACTTGAGACTGGGTGTGGTGGCACACGCCTGTAATCCCAGATCTTGGAAGACTGTAAACAGGTGGATCACTACAAGTCTGATCTAGTAGTGAGACGCTGAACACCCTGTAGACCCCTCCCTAAAATTAAAAAAAAAAAAAAATCAATAACAAATGCTAACAAGGCTGTGGGGAAAAAGAAAACCTTCTCCACTGTTGGTAGGAGTACAGACTGGTAAAACCACTGTGAAAATCAGTGTGGAGAGTCCTCAAAAAACTATCCCATTCAACTCAGCTATTCCCTTTCTGGGTATTTTTCCAGAAATCTTGGAAACAACTCAAATGCTTATCAACTGAGGATCAGATTAAAAAAAAATGTGGTATTTTTATACATTGGAGTATTAATCAGCTATAAAGAAAAACTTGAGGTGGGCTGGGGAGATGGCTCAGTAGACTAAGCGCTTGCCTGGCAAGCATAAAGGCCTGAATTCAATCCCTGGTTCTGGAAAAAAAAAAAAAGAAAAGAAAAGAAAAGAAAAGAAAAAGAAAAACTTGAAGCTTTTATAGGTAAATGGATGCAATTAAAGACCATACTCATAAGTGAAATAAATCAGACCTGCATGTATAAACATCATATCGTCTCCCTAGCATAAGAAACTGAAAAAGTAAATAAAATCCAAAAGGTAGAGTAGATATTGTGAAAGGGAAAGAGACTGCTCAAAAGGAAAGAACAGCTAGGATGGGGAAAAGGAGAAAAGAAAGAAGGATATATATATATATATATATATATATATATATATATATATATATATATACACACACACACACAAGATAGCTCAGATAATTAAACTACCGATTTCTGTTATTGAAAGGAACAGTTAATGCCTAACCGATCAATTGCGCATGCCTGTATCTGGTGATCTGAACAGTTACCTTAGCGGTAACAATATGCAATACAAGAACTGTTGCTGATTTTCTATTATCTTGCTTTGAAACTCTGTATCTTTTTTTTTTATTCTCTTTAAAAAAACTAGCCCCTTCAGGGACTGGGGATGTAGCTCAGGAGCACAGCACATGCTTAGCACATCGGAGGCCTGGATGGACCCTTAGTACCTCCCCAAAATCATATAAAAAGATACTCATAATTATGAGTAGTCAGAAAAGAAAATACAACTTTATTCTCACATTGGCAGACATTTAAAATAAGTGGTTCTTATCCTTTGTTGATAAAAATGTAAACTAATTTTTTTTGTAAAGCAAACAAATTCTTGAACATATACAGATACAGATGACAATATACAGATATAGTTGGGCTTGGAGATACATCTCAGTGACAAGAGTACTTGCTTGGCATGTGTGAGGATTTGGACATGACCACCAGCAATGGAACACAAAACAAAACAAAACTCCCTCCATATACTCTTACCCCAACAATCCCAGTTTTGGTTATTGTTACTGAGGTAATCACATTACCTAGAAATATAACCAGCAGCAGCTTTGATGATTCATGTGAAGTATATCTGTCTCAAAACAGTCCTTAGGAGAAAAAAAAAAAAGTAGAAGCAAAAGAAATGTCTACTTACAGAAAAAATACCTGACTAAAACACAGTATATTTGCTACACAGAGTATCATGCAGCCATGAAGAAAGACAAATAGGGCTCCCCCAGGTGATTAGGAGGGTTTCCACTGCACAGGGATATTTTAAGCCCAAGTATGATGGTGGATACAAGTACCTACTGCAAACTGTAGACTACTGAACAAGTGAACGCAGGGTTGGCAACTGGAAACGGCAATGAGAATTCAGAGACACTTTCCAAGTACGCAGGCTTTCAGCTGAGCTTGGCAACATCATTACGGATGGAGATGATCTACTCAGCCTGATACTTCAGAAGCTGCACACATTGCACAGACTTACATGATAGCCTGGGAGCCAGAGAGACAGCGATGACATATGCATCAGCTTCCTTAGGGAATAATTCATTCCTCATAAGTTACCTTTACAGAAACAAGTTTTTTTTTTTTTTAA